CCCCCCCCCAAACCTTAGTAAGATGCACAGACCTGGTTTAATCCAGTTCTGAAGTTTATGAATCAATGACCAGTATAACTGATACTGTCCTGAGATCAAACTGTATCAATAATATAATACTTGTAATTTTAATAATTAAAATAAACACTAATATTACAATAACTAGTATTGTAAAAAAAAATGATGCTGTAGACGTCACATGTGATTGAATCAAGACTTCATAGTGTCAAAACAAAATAATAATATATGATATTTGAGACCTAATTAGATTTATGTAAAAACACAATAACAGAGATCATGTATAAAGAAAAAATATTCAATAAATATAAATACTAATAATAACGGTCATGTTTCCACAAAACCCTAAATAAGACAATGGAATATTGCCATGAGCATGAACAGTAAAGTGTAAAGTAAATAGTGTAAAGAATATGTTTTTGGTTTATTTTTTATTTTATTCAGTAACAACAGTGTACAATCAGGCTCAAAACAGCAAATACAAAAAAAAGAAAAATTCAAACCAAAGCTTCTATTCTTAAAAAAAAAAAAACAACAATCAGAAATCAATAAGGTATAAAATAGAGCTAAATGATCAATTATCAGATTTTACTATTTAACATTCACATCTGATCAGAGACAGATGGGCAAATTCACTTCTGACGATACAAAATATAGATGAATAGAATATAAATGCAATTATGCAGTATATGATTAAAACGATATACGGATTACAATATAAGCAATCAGAAAAGCAATATAATACTAAATTGGGGGGTTGGGGGAATGTATGCCAGTCAGAATACTGGTATAATACATTTTCTTATACAATCTATACATGATATTTCTCATGAGATATTTCAATTAATACCTGCAGAAACAGCATTATATGAATAGAGTAAGAGGTATGAAAAGTGATGTATAGATGTTTAACATTAAAGGATCAAATAAAGACGAGAATTATTATAAAGATCTATGTGTACGTCCTTCAACTTAATAATAAATGAAATGTTTCTACATTTATTCTGTTTTACTATTATTTAACTGCTCAACAGCACATGGGTATGAATATGACCATATGACCAAAATATGATTTTGATTTATTTTGAATGATGTTACAGTCGTACTGTACAACTGCATACTGAAGTTGTTGGAATCGTCTCAAATCAATAAAGATGCATCTATAGTAGGGTCTGAAAATACAAAAGACAAATAACATTAAAAATAGACATTTCATAAGGAGGAATATGGCTCATATGCACTGTAGTCTGTCAAAACAGATAAAAAAAGACAGATAAAAATAAAAACCATATGACACAAAGATCAGTGTTTTGGGTTGTACAGTAGGGAGTAAAAATTATTTTGACCAATAAAATGTGCAGAACAAAAGAGTTTGTTTAGTGAAGAATCTAAGCACTACACTGATGTATGATTTCACAGCAACATGAGGATTGAGACTGATAAGAAAAAAGGTGCAAAATTCAGAGGATTTCTGCCAAACAGACACTTTCTCGTGTTCATGAACAGCTTAATGAAGCAAAATGTGTCTTGAGATGCATGTTTTAAAGCTGAACTGACAGCATCTTAAAAATTGTGCTCATGATGCACAGTTTAAACATTCTGCAGATGGGCACAACACGATCATCTAATTACTCTGTCTGATTAACAGAAATCTTGAAGTGTTCTTCTGTCTCACACATTTCCACGGAAAACTATTTACAATTACATGATTAATCTGTATAGTTTTCATACAAACACAATTGTTCATCCAAATATTTCACACATTGCTAAAACAAGAATAAATGATAATAATGATAAAAAACATTATTTATTACACTGAAATATTTGAGTTACTTACCAGAGACAGTAACACTGAAAAACTTTGCTATTTTTTTTTCGGGTGTGAAAATATGTAGTTCATAAACTCCAGAGTCTTTGGTTTCGCTGTCTGTGATGGTCAGAGATGCAGTTTCAGAATTCATGTCCAGTCTGCCTGTGAAACTGTCATTATTATAATATTTAGGGCTTTCTTTGGCCCATCCATTGATTTGAGCTATGGGATTGCCCTTGTCTCCAAACAAACACTGTATCACTTCATCTTCCTGTATTGCAGTAAGACCAGATCGTAGAGTGAAAGGATCTCCCTTCATCACTGACACTGACTCCATTGTATCTGTCACAGCACAACAGAAACAAGAGAAATATATAACAGAAATTAGAAACCCATTAATAGCAGAAATGAATGAAAGTAATACTGACCAGTCAGATTCTCAGATATATTTGATCATTGAATTAGTGGCATTAATTCACTAAATATTTTGATATCAGTGTATTTATGCAAGGAAACGTTAACTCATGATCAGGTGCTAATTAAAATTGTATTGCACTGCATTCATTACTCTATACAATATGTTATTTTATAATTTAATAATTTAACTGACCTAAAAGATATCATTATTACAGTGAAAGACATGAGTTACTCACCGCACAAATTAACATAAAATGACTTGAATGAAACACTTTGTCCTCTTATCATCTTTAATGAATATTGTCCAGCATGTTCAGTTGTGATGTCCCTGAGGGTCAGAGATCCTGTTTGATTGTCCAGCTTTAGTCTGCCTCTCAATTTCTTATTAAGAACATCATCATATATGGAGCACTTTCTGGTCCCTCCATTGATTTCAGCTATGACAGTGGCTTCCCGCACCCACAGTATCAGAACATCTCTGTGTACTTTAGCATCAGTCTCGAGAATAACAGAACCTCCCTTCATCACTGGGAGTGTCTTGTCTTCATCTGTCACAACAGCCCATAGAAACACGGAAATACAGAACAGAAATTATAACAAGGACAATAAAAATACAGAAATGAACAAAAGTGACAATGATCTTCCGCTCCCTATCTACCATCCATTTCTGTTCATTAAATCAGTATTCATATAATGTCATAGCCTATCCCGCCAGTATTTGCATATTAATGACATTATATAGCTGCTTGATATAGAACACCCTGAACAAAACCACACCACACACACAGACACAAACACACAATACACAAAAAGCTTAAAAACCTGATAAAACATCACCTTTCATACTGTTACATTATACAGCATCATTTTTATCTTCACTCTTATGAAAAAAATCTATCAAAAGCTACCCTTTCATAAGGCACACCTTTGTATTTTATTTACTCTTTAAGGCACACATTAATACTTTAAAGGTTAACATTTTTACCTAAAGTTTACATATTAGTACCTAAATGGTATATATTAGTTACATTATATTATACTTACATGCTAGCCTTTTTAGTACAGAACTCCTGCAGTAACAGAAATACACACAACCAGCTACAGCTGCAACAACTATAGCCCCGATCACAAACCCAACACCTATTCCTGCTTCACCACCTGAAGGCAGATCTGTAAAAGCTAAAAAGAGACAGTCATTATTGTAATGCCACAATAACAGAAATCATAGAGCAGTTGGTTTCTTTTAGGTGGTTCTACTCCTTCTTTGTCAGTTGACGGACCAATTTCTATGTACTTATTAAAAGTCACCAAATCACTTGTAAAGAAATTTATTTAAATTAACAATTTAAAAATTAATCATAACTAATATTCCTTTTCCTTGCATGCCTAACATTTGTATGCTTTTGAGAACAGCAGGTGTGGAATATATTCACTATTCTCAATTCAATATAATACATAAAATTATGTCTATTCATAAGAGAAAATTATTCTGCTATTATCTACTATTATGTATTTGACTGTGTGTGTGTGTGAGCATTGCAGTATATTCAAAACTGGTTGGAAAACACTCATATATGGAAAATGACTTTTTTTCCTAAATACAGGAGCTAGAAATAAGTGCATGACATGTTATTTATCATCCTTTACAGGAGCGCATATATGGTAAAGACTAGGGGTGTAACGGTTCTCGGCAAATAATATAACCGTTACGGTTCTCCACACACGGTTCAACTTAAATCTAACAAGGCATCTGTAATATGGTTTGTTAAAAATAACAACACGTAAAACAGTCAGAGTTTGGGCTGCAATATAACAAAGAGTGAAAAATTTAAGGGGGTCTGAATACTTTCCGTACCCACTGTATGTTTAAGCCTAGCCAGTTTAAACATTCAAGAGCCAGAAGGCATGAATGAGAACTAATGTGAACTTGAGATTTGTGTTTGTGCTCATCTGAAGTGCGCAAACCCGTGTTCAGGTGTAAGGTCTCAGACAGCATGCAAATATTGAGTTATCTTTGAAGTCTTGTGCTTAAATGGACAAATTTACACAAAAATGATGTCAACATGCCCGTCTTGGTGAGTATCCTAGCAGACATGTTGAACTTACAGTATCAGTGTACTTGATCTGTGCATTGTCTTAATGTGACAGCACAAATATGCAATGTTATTTTATATTTGATTACTTTATTCAATTTCTGTACCTAAAAACTAATGTTAGGCCAACATAGAAAACCTGAAAAGCTAAAATTGTATTTGTATCTTCGATCTATTGTATTTATTTTATCCGTCATTTACTTTGTCTCAGCAAACTGCTGACAGTGAGAACCCTTCAGCTGAATTGATCTGATCTATGACAAACATGATGAACAATCAGATGTGACTAAAACATAGTTAATATGAATCTAATACTGTACAATGTTAAATATAAATTAGAAGCACCTCATGCCTATCTAAAGTAACATGTTATATAATGACTTCATTTCTGATGCTGTTTTACTGTGTTACCACAGGTGATTTATGTGAACACAGGACATTTCTTTCACAACATTATAAGTAGTCATGCAGATTAAGTAGTTCAAGTTACTTTGCAAACAAAGTCTTAGTATTTACTACAGATGTCTCAGGCTCTGCTTGACCTGCTCATTAATAGCAAACATAAATTAGCAATGCATTTGTGTCTTATAACTTCAATGTATGATTTAAGGGGTCAACTGAGAAAATTACAAATACATCAATTATTAATAAATGAAAAAATATGAAAAAAAAATTTTTTTAACTGTCTCTGACAAACAGACAGTATCAATGTGATCATTAATGAAATGAACATGACCAATATAACTAACCATTTAAATTAATCTCAAATAGTATGTTTTAATAAAAAGACATCTCGTCTCAAGATTTAACTTTGATTTTAGGTAATATTGGCATTTCCTTTACAAATATCTTTAAGTATTTTACACCAAACCTCCTTGAGAGACTGACAAACTAGAACAGTTAAATATATGAATTAACACAGTTTAAATTAGTGCAAACTTCTCTTCATCTACCTGATTTTTTGAATTTCTGCCTGAAATGTACACACGCAAATCTGATGGCTCCCTTTAACCACATGCAGTGAAGAAAATGCAAAGTATTGCTGTCATTTTAAAACATGCGTACAGTTTTAAATAACAAAATCAAATGTAATTAATTCAAAATATTAATTAAGATCGTTATTAAAATGACAGACTTTGACTGACTCACCTTTGACATTAACAAGGAATTTCCTATTTACGGTGTGTCTGCTGGTGGTGATCTGTAGTTTATAGAGTCCAGCATGTTGAGTTGTGATGTTTGTGATGGTCAGAGATCCATTTTGATCGTCCAGCTTCAGTCTGTCTCTGAATATCCCATCTGGACCATTATATATGGAGACATGTCGTTTTGCTTTATAAATTGACCATGACACAATGACAATGTCTCCAAACATCCAAAGTATGGAATCATCATACTGTATTTCAGTATCTGTGTGTAGCATAACAGAGTCTCTCTCTTTCACTGATAGTGACTTCACTTCACCTGTAACAACAAACATGCAATGAATATTGAGGAACAGCTACTCAGACATTTATTAAATGTATGCAGAAAAAAAGGTAACATTTATAGCAGTGACTATGCAAGTGAAAAACCCTGAATAATTTCAATTAACATCTCTTAATGAGTCTTGTCTGAGATTAAGTTCAACAGCAATTTTTGCTATTCCAAAAGTAGCATTTTAGGCCTAACAAGACATTTCCTGAAGAGAGGCAGCATAAAGAGAAGAAGAAAAATGTGTTCAATAGATCAAATGATATACTGCAAGTAAACATGTGACTTCACTAAATACTGAACACTACAAACATTAAAACATACATAGGTGTTTGATAAGTGAACAAGGTATCATGACATATAATTTTCATTATCTCCTTAGAGTCAGAAGAAACAGTAGAATACAACATTTCTTAACTTTAAAAATGTAATTCAGCACAAACATGCTATTTTTAATCTAAAATGCTGATCTAAATAAATTAATTTTTACACTGAAATGTTTGATCGACTCACCGCTGATAGTCACATTGTATGACTTCTGTATGGTGTAACTGCTGCTTTTGATGATGTCAATCTCATAAAGTCCAGAGTCTTTAGTTCTCGTGTTTGTGATGGTCAGAGATCCAGTCCGATAGTCCAGCCGTAGTCGGTCTGTGAATGTCTTATCAAATGTAGAGACTTTTCCATCCTTTATATTGACTTCAGCTATAGTAGAGTGTTGAGGTCCAAACTTCCACCGTAACACATCATAATTCTGTGTATCGGTAAGACCAGTCTGTAGAGTGACAAACTCTCCCACCAGCACTGAGTGCTTTTGATCTACAGACACAACTGGACAAAAAACAGGAATAATTACTAAGACTTCCCAGCAAGCAATAGCCATCATTTCAACGTCTCGGTTAAGTATAGACCCGATATAGTCCGGCTATGTGTAACCCACTTCTAGCCCAAATAACCTTGAACTTGGTTTCATGTCGTTTTTTGGCAAAATAACTTGTGAGATGTATGATATTCCATCATGTAAGCAAAGTCAACAGCGTTTACAAGGTGTTTGGTTTCATTTCTTTGACATGTTCAATACGTAGCCTGTGCGTAGCCACGATTTAGCTCATAGTCAGAGCGGCTATCTGTAGCCCACTTATAGTCAAACCTGATTCACTGTAGTTTTTGACCAGACAGCGCATGAGATGGTTGATATCCCATCATGTTCTCAGTGTTAATAATATCTACAAAGATATAAGTGTCATTTCATTACATGGTCTATTCAGTCCGATTTGGTGAACTGGTTCAACCGGTTCACTAAGAAGAACCGGTTAAATCGAACGATTCGTTCGCGAACCGGACATCACTACAGTGTTGTGTTTTGAATTTTTTTACACGAGAGAGCACTAAGTTTACTTGTTGGAGAGCAGCGGGCAAACAACAAACGATAAAGGACATTCCTACTTGGACTTGTAAGTATCTGTTTTTTCGTTTTGACACGTGTTCATTATTTAAACCAACAAAAGGGTTAATCTTTTTTTTATGTTGTCATTTATCCGTAATGGATTTTCACATTTCCGGGTTTCTCAGCAGCTGAAGTCGTCATAGTTGGGTTAAGTTATACAAAGAATAGTGTTATAAATGTACATACATTAAAAAATAAATACAAATATGAAAAACTTTCGAGGATTTACGATGCTGATTACCGTTAAACGCGTCATCACAGTCTTGTGAAAAGGGTCCATGTTTTAATGTTAAGTGTGATAACATGCTCTTGATTTGTATTAGGTTTTCTTTTCTTTTAAATATCTTATTTCAAATTAAATGCTCATCTTTTTAAGTGGGAGAACTTGCACAATTGGTGGCTGACTAAATACTTTTTTTCCCCACTGTATAATAAAATCACACTAAATCCTTTTCAAGGACATTCAGGTAATTTAACTGGAAATCTGCTTTACAAATACCAAAGGCACCTTACACAAATTGCATAGGTATCAATTCTTCAACTCCACTAAAATTATGCTAATAAGCTAATAATAACACTGAAATGCATTAGATACTCACCAGTGACAATGAATAATTCCTCTAAGATGCTGGTGCTGTTGGATCCTTTATAAACTCCAGTGTCTGTGGTTTTGATGTTGGTGATGGTGAGATCTCCAGTCTTAACGTTCAGCTGCAGTCTGCCTCTGAATCTCCGATTAAGATTATCATCATATTCTGGGGATTCTTTGTCTTTTTTTATTCTAGCTATGCGATGGAGATCAAACCTCCACTCTATCTCATCATTTTTCTGTATTTCAGTGAGACCAGTGTGTAGAGTGACAGAATCTCCCTCAGTCAATGTCAATGACACTGACTTACCAAACACACCTGGGAAAAAAAAGAACAGTTACACCACAGACAAAAAAGTAATTATATATAAACACAGACAGTAAAAAATGTTGTGCAACCCTCTACACTGCGAGTAAATCACTCGCATATGCGACAAAATCTTCACTCTGGGCGACTAAATGATGTCTAATATTAGCCATTGGCTAATAAATTCTCAGATTTTACTCGCCAGTGTGTGAGTTGGAGGCTAAGTATAAGTTAAGCACAGATATATTTTCACTGGCCGAACACTCAGACTGAGCCCTTCAGAGTTTCATCTGTCAAGCGATCTGTGCAATTTTTCAGTTAATCTGAATGGATGCGCAGTGCACCTGTATTTGACGTACCGTAAACTCTAGCGTGAAGGCGCACGACTCGCCGTCGCTTTGCTGAGGGCACTTTTTCTCACACACGCAAACAGAGAGAGAGAACGAGAGTCTTACATACCATGCAGAATTGACGCGCTACATGTAAACGATATTCTTTGTTGTATTTTCCTGTCAAAATAAC